GCTCTTCCTTGCTCCAGGTCCCCCTCCGGTAGACCCCCTCCCCCCCCAGGATCCTGCTCCCCCAGGTGTGTCTCAGGTAGACCCACTCCCCGGGACTGTGCCTGTCGAGGTCGTTGTAGACTCAGATGCTGCTCGAGGTGCTGCGTCTGGAGGTGCTGCGTCTGGGGGTGCTGCGTCGGGGGGTGCTGAGCCTGCGCGTGCGGAGCCTGGGGGTGCTGAGCCTGGTGGTGCTGAGCCTGCGGGTGCGGAGCCTGGGGGTGCTGAGCCTGAGGGTGCGGAGCCTGGGGGTGCTGAGTTTGAGGGTGCGAAGTCTGGGGGTGCTGTGCCTAGGGGTACTGCTTCTTCTGGAGGTCCTGCGGGTGCCTTGCCACGTCTGTCTCCCTGGCCGGAGCCTCTCTCCCCGCAGCAGCTGCGTGAGTGGTTTTCTCAGCGCACATGCCTTCGGAGTGGAGCTGCCGGAGCTGGAGGCTCTTCCGCTGGAGGCCCTGGAGCTGGAGGTGTTGAAGCTACTCGTCTTGGAGGTGCTAGAGTTACTGCTGGAGCTGGTGGTACCGGAAGTGCTCGAGCTGCTGGTCCTGGAGGTGCTCCTACTAGGGGTACTGGAGCTCCCGGGACTGGCGATGTTGGGGGCGCTGGAGCTGGAGGAGCTGGAGCTGGAGACCCTGGCGCTGGAGGCGCTGGGGCTGGAGGCACTGGAGCTGGAGGCGCTGGAGCTGGAGGAGCTAGAGCTGGAGACACTTGAGCTGTTGACCCTGGAGATGGATGTGCTGGCGCTGGGGGTGCTGTGTCTGGCGGTACTGGTGCTGGAGGCACTGTGTAGCGCCGCCCGTTTTTCGTTCTGCCGCAGCCGTCGTCTTTGCCGCCACCTGACTCGGTCCTTCGCCAGGTTCTTAGTCTCCCATCTTCTACTGGCCTTCCTCCTAGCTTACAGAGTCCACCGCCTCGTTAGTCACTGCCACAGTTACAGCCAAACTCCCCTTTGCCTACTCCTTCTCCTTACGCTGAGCAGACAGACACGTTTACAGAGCGTCGTGAGCGTGAGTCTCGTCCTGCCTCGCCTGTTCGCGCTGTTCGCACTGGTCGTCGGGTTCCTCGTCCGCGTCCTCCTCATGTCCCCGGCACCCACGTTATGGCACTTCGTCCTTCCTCTGTTCCACTGTGTGTTCCTCTCCCGCCTCCTCCTCAGTCCTCTCTTCCTGCCGTTCCTGACCCTGACTCTGACCTAGCTCGTGCTGCCAGTCCCACTGTCTCTCGTCTCTTCGCCACTGTTGTCACTGACCCTTCTTTTGAGTCCACTGCTACGTCTGCCCTCGTTGCTGAGCTGGATGACTTTGCTGCTGCCTGTCGTCTCGACTACGCCACTGCTCTTGTTGCTGAGTCTGAGTCTGCCTGTCCTCCGTCCGTCGGGGGTGAGTGTGCTCTTGGCACGGACGTCCTTGAGGACAGGGAGGAGGACTTTGAGTGTCTTGCAGCTGCTGTACCTCATCTCGTGGCCATGCTGCTTGCCCCTGAGGGAGACCCGGATGCACCGGACATCCTGACCCCGCGCTCTTACGCAGAGGCGATTACGAGTCCTTACTCCTCTTAGTGGCAGACAACCATGGATGCAGAGATGGCATCCTGGAAGTCCACAGGCACCTGCGTCGACGCAGTTCCCCCGTCTAGGGCGAACATAGTCGATGGCATGTGGATTTTCAGGGTGAAGCGACCGCCGGGTTCTCTGCCTGCCTTCAAGGCTCGTTACGTTGCTCGAGGCTTCAGTCAGCAATACGATTCGACTACATCCATACCTTCTCCCCCACCCCGAAGATGACCACTCTTTGGGTGTTGCTGCACGTCGCAGCTCACCATGACTACGAGCTGCACTCGCTTGACTTCAGCATAGCTTTCTTGCAGGGCAGCCTGCACGAGGAGATCTGGCTGCGTCGCCCACCTGGCTTCACTGGGTCGTTTCCTGCAGGTACCAAGTGGAGCCTCCGGCGGCCAGTCTACGGTCTCCGCCAGGTGCCTCACGAGTGGCACGACACACTGAGGACTACGCTTGCGGCTCTGGGGTTTGCTCCTTCGACTGCTGACCCGTCGCTGTTTCTACGCACCGTCACTTCGCTGCCGCCAGTCTACGTCCTCGTGTACGTCGACGACCTGGTCTTTGCCAATGCTTACACTGAGGCACTGACCCTTGTGAAGTCGGAGCTGCAGAAGAGACACACCTGCACTGACGTGGGTGAGCTGCGCAGCTATCTTGGCTTGCAGATCACCCGGGACAGAGCACGGTGCACCATTACCCTGACTCAGTCACACATGGTGCACCAGGTCCTTCAGCGCTTTGGCTTCCGGTACTCCTCGCCACAGTCCACTCCTCTGCCTACCGGTCACTCGCTCTCAGCTCCACCTTCGGACGATTCCGTAGAGCCGAGTGGCCTGTATCTAGAGCTTGTGGGCTGCCTCATGTACCTGATGACCTGCACTCGACCTGACCTTGCATACCCTCTTAGTATCCTGGCACGCTATATTGCGTCTGAGAGACACCGACAAGAGCACTGGGAGGCCGCTAAGAGGGTGTTGCGCTACTTGTGCAGTACGTTGGGCATGGGGCTCGTGCTTGGAGGACGGGCTCGAGTTGTCCTCACTGGTCACGCAGACGCTTCCTGGGTTGACGACTTGGCTACGCAGCGGTCGTCACAGGGTTACACCTTCAGCCTTGGCTCCGGCTCTGTCTCTTGGCGGTCTACCCGCTCGTCTTCTGTTCTCAGCTCCAGTTGTGAGGCTGATGTGAGAATTGAGGAATGAAATGAACTAGCAAGCAGGTGGGCACAAGTAGGAAAACCTAAAAGTGTTGTACCCCATATTGTCTACCCCACTACAGCCTACACAGACTATAGCATATGAGTTAGACACACCCCCATAGGCAAAGTGGGGGAGAACAAGAGGTCACAAGACCAGTCAAGCAAAGCAAAGCAAGCTCAGGGTGGATCACAACGTCACCAAACATTCCGAGCACAAGTTCAAGGCCAGAAGGCCAGTTCACATGCAAGATCATATATAAAGGTAAACAAGCAAGTGCAGGTATAGACAGATCACAGTACAAGCAAGGTCAAGAAGTGAGCAAGTGTGGCCAAGTAGGCACAAGACATAGCATCGTACAGAAGCGCTGATGATCACAAGGCGGAAGTGCCTTGGTAAAGATATCAGCAGTGTTGGCCTCAGAGGCCACGTAAGCAAGGCGCAGCTGACCACGCTGCTGCAGCTCACGAGCAAGGAAGTAGCGAAGAGCAATGTGCTTCGTTCTGTGCTCCAGTCTGTGCTCCCGACACAAGGCCAGCATGGCCTTGTTGTCTACGTATAGAACTGGAGGAGAACGAGGCGGCACTCCTAGGTCAGTCAGCAGGTAGGTGAGCCAGCGTAGCTCCTGTGCAGCCATGGCCCCCGCGTAGATCTCAGCCTCACAGCTGGAGCCGAGAACAGAAGACGAACGGGTAGACCGCCACGAAACAGAGCCGGAACCAAGGCTGAAGGTGTAACCCTGTGACGACCGCTGCGTAGCCTGGTCGTCAGCCCAAGAGGCGTCTGCGTGACCTGTGAGGACCACTGGACGTCGCCCTCCAAGCACTAGCCCCATGCCCGACGTACTGCACAAGTAGCGCAACACCCTCTTCGCTGCAGCCATGTGCTCTGGTCGGTGTCTCCCAGGAGCAACATAGCGTGCCAAGATGCTAAGAGGGTATGCAAGGTCAGGTCGAGTGCAGGTCATCAGGTACATGAGGCAGCCAACAAGCTCTGGGTACGGGCCACTCGGCTCTACGGACTCATCCGAAGGCAGAGCTGAGAGCGAGTGGCAAGTAGACAGAGGAGTGGCCTGAGGCGAGGAGTACGTGAAGTCGAAGCGCTGAAGGACCTGCTGCACCATGTGTGACTGAGTCAGGGTAATGGTGCGCTGTACTCTGTCCCGGGTGATCTGCAAGCCAAGGTAGCTGCGCAGTTCACCCAGGTCTGTGCACGTGTGTCTCTTCTGCAGCTCGGACTTCACGTGGGCGAGTCCAGCAGTGTCAGCAGTGGCAAAGACTAAGTCGTCGACGTACACGAGGATGTAGAACGGCGGCAAAGAGGTGTCGGTGCGCAGAAACAGCGACGGGTCGGCAGTAGAAGGAGCAAACCCAAGAGCCGCAAGTGTAGTCCTCAGTGTGTCGTGCCACTCACGGGGCGCCTGGCGGAGACCGTAGACTGGCCGCCGGAGGCTCCACTGGGTACCAGGGGGAAACGACCCAGTGAAGCCAGGTGGGCGGCGCAGCCAGATCTCCTCGTGCAGGCTGCCCTGCAGGAAAGCTGTGCTGAAGTCAAGAGAGTGAAGCTCGTAGTCGCGCTGAGCGGCTATGTGCAGCAGCACCCGAAGAGTGGTCATCTTCGGGGTGGGAGAGAAGGTCTGAAAGTAGTCAACTCCCTGCCGCTGACTGAAGCCTCGAGCCACGTAACGCGCCTTGAAGACAGGCGGAGAACCCGGCGGCCGCTTCACCCTGAAAATCCACATGCCACTGACGATGTTCGCCCCAGGTGGGGGAACCTCGTCGACGCAGGTGCCTGTGGACTTCCAGGAAGCCATCTCTGCGTCCATTGCTGACTGCCACTGTGAGGAGTAGGGACCCTCGATCGCCTCAGCGTACGATCGAGGAGTCGGGATGTCTGGTGCATCCGGGTCTCCCTCAGGGTCAATCAGCGTGGACACGAGATGAGGCAAAGCAGCAGCAAAACACTGGAACTCCTCCTGCCTGTCCTCAAGGACGTTCGTGCTAAGAGCACACTCAACCCCGACGGACGGGGGACAGACAGACTCAGACTCAGCAACAAGACTAGCAGCGTAGTCTAGACGACAGCGAGCAGCAAAGTCGACAAGCTCAGCAACTAAGGCAGACGCAGCAGTGGACTCAAAGGAAGGGTCAGTGACAGCAGTAGCCAGGAGACGCGTGACAGTAGGACTGGCAGCACGAAGAGAGTCAGACTCCGGGTCAGCAAGGACAGGAAGAGAGGACTCTGGAGAAGACGGCAACGGGACACGCAGAGGAGCAGTGGAAGGACGCAGTGCCATCTGGTGTGTGCCTGGGACCGCAGGAGGACGCGGGCGCGGAGCACGACTACTAGTGCGAGCAGCACGAACAGGCGACGCAGGACGAGACGCAGGCTCACGACGCTCAGCAAGACCTCCAGTAGGACCAGTGTAGGGAGAAGGAGCAGGCAGGGGGGAGGCGGGCTGTAACTGTGACCGCGACTGGACAGGCTGTGGACACTCTAAGGGAGGAGCAGGACCAGTAGAGGGCGGGAGACCAAGAACCTGCTCAAGGAGCGGAACGAAGTACGGCCGCGGCCGCGCAGCGCCTCCAGAACCAGCAGGGACAGCACCAGTACCCCCAGCGGCAGCACCAGCGCCAGCAGCGCCAACTCCAGCACCCTCAGTCGCACCAGCGCCAGCAGCACCTCCAGCGCCAACACCCCCAGCAGCTCCAGCTCCAGCAGCTCCAGCAGCTCCAGCTCCAGCAGGACCGTCAGCTCCAGTACCGCCAGCAGCTCCAGCAGCACCCCCAGTCCCAGCAGCTCCAGTACCGCCAGTACGAGCACCTCCAGGACCAGCAGCAACAGTAGCACCTCCAGCTCTAGCAGCACGGCTCCAGCGCTGGGCAAACCACTCGCGCAGCTCCTGCGGAGAGAGTAGCTCCCGCCTCGACGAAGCACCGCCAGAGGTCACACGAGCAGACCCAGCACCCCCAGTCTCCGCACCCCCAGGCTCCGTACCCCCAAGCTCAGCACCCCCAGGCTCCGCACCCCCAGGCTCAGCACCCCCAGACTCAGCACCCCTAGGCTCAGCACCCCTAGACTCAGCACCCCCAGGCTCCGCACCCCCAGGCTCAGCACCCCCAGACCCGGCACCCGCAGGCTCAGCACCCCTAGCAGCACCAGAGTCAACAGCTACCTCGACAGGCTCGACTGCGTCTACCTGGGACACACCTGACGGGGTAGGACCCTGAGGGGGGAGAGGGTCTACCGGGGGAGGACCCGGCGCAAGGAAGAGCGGCGGCGGGGGGAGGGGCGCAGTGCGGTAGGGGAAGAGACGGTAGTAAGGCACCGACTCGTCAAAGGTGACGTCCTGGGAGGACAGAACACGGCGCGAGGTGGGGTGGTAAAACTGCCAACCAGGCGCGTCAGGGGGGAAGCCAAGGAAGACGCAAGGAACAACACGGGGGGACAGCTTGTCCGCAGACAAGTCGCGGACAAACGCCCGAGATCCCCAGACCCGAAACGCAGACGCATCGCCAACCTTCCCCGTCCACCGCAAGGTGGGGGAGGTCTCTGGCAAGGAGACCCGGGGCTGAAGGTTGAGCTGATGCGCTGCGTACTGAACCGCAAACGGCCACAGAAAATGGGGAGCAGCCGCATGGATCATGGACGTACGAGCGACGTCCATGACCATGCCAATGCGGCGCTCAGCAATCCCATTTTGCTGTGGAGAGGCCGGAAGCGTGAAGGTCTGCGGATGCCCTGTGTACGACAGAAGGCTCCCAGACGGGCAGAGGAAAACTCCCCGCCTCTGTCAGAGTGCAGACGCAGAACAGGAAAGTCCGAGCCGAAACTCTCTCTGAGCTGGAGACGAGCTGCGCGGATCCAGTCGATCAACACCTCAGTGACGTCACCCTTGCTGCGCAAGGGGAACACCGTGGTGTAACGCGAGTAGTCGTCAACCACCAACAGGAAGTAACGCTCGTGACCCTGGCCACGGACGCGGGCGGGGCCCCACACGTCCATGTGAAGAGTCTGCAGTGGAGCCTCTGTCGGAGGAAACTCGGAGGAGTGAGGGGCGGCGCGCTGCCGCCCCTCGACGCAGGGAACGCAGGTAGGGGCAGGCCCCGGAGGGAGGGGAGGGAGGGACCGGGGGAGACCAGAGACAAGGACACGGGAGGCCATGCCTCGGAGACGAGGCAGGGAGGGGTGACCAAGGCGGTGGTGCCAAAGAAGAGTCTGGTGGGACAGGAGACGACACGAGCAGGGAGCAGACTCAGGACCAGACCTGGACGCTGCAGCAAACACCTGACTCGACGCAGCTACCTGACCAGACTCAGCAACCGGAGGAGACTCAGTGGTCAGTGTGTACAGGCTCGACCCCGGCCGACGGGTAAACGTGGCCAAGTGTCGGCCCGTCCGAGCACACGTACAGTGGGTCACCCGCTGACTCGCAGGAGTGAACTGGTCAACCCCCCCATCCTGTAGATCAGCACCACTCACCAAGTTCGTAGAGAACGAGGGGAGGTAGAGACCTGACAGGGTGCCAGAGGGGGCTGCCGGACACGGTAAGACAGTGGAGAAGCGAGCAAGGACAGGACCCCCAGAGGGGTCCGCCAGGGAGACCGCAACCGGCCGACTAAGCGGCGTAAGCGTGGTGCGGTCTCGAAAGAAGGAGCGGGAAGCACCCGAGTCAAGGGTGAAGGTGTGTAAGGCCTGAGCCGACGTGGTACCTGAGAGAGCAGACTCACCAGCACCTGGGGCAGCAGACGCACTAGCACCTAGAGCAGCAGCCTCACCAGCACCTAGAGCAGCAGCCTCAATGCCCGGGTCAGGCGGAACACACAGGTAACAGTCACCCTCATCACTAGTAGACACAGCATACATGGCAGCAAGAATAGCATCATAGTCAAGATCAAAGATAGCAACCCCCGCCCTAGACAGCTCTCCCCAGCGAGGGATCTCAGTGGCGTCAGGGAACTGGTGACGCCAAGCGTCCGTCAGGCGGCCGAAGCAGCGCTGGGTGGAGTGCGAGCCCCCGCACTGCTCACCAGCGCGGTCACCGGTACGGAGAACGTAGGTACAGGGACCAGTACCCCCACCTCGCTGACGCCCAGCGTACCACTCACGAAGCTGCTGGGGGGACGGGGTCTCACGAGGGCGCTGCTGCTGCTGGCGCTGACCACCACCTAAGCCGCCCCGCTGCGCAGAGCCACCCCGACTAGCTCCACCTCCTCCGCCGCCACCTCCGCCACCGCCGCCACTGCCTCCTCCTCCGCTCCCACCGCCACCGCCGCCGCCGCCTCCGCCGCCACCGCCGCCACCGAAGCCCCCACCCCCGCCACCACTCCCACCACCACCCCCACTCCCTCCGCCTCCTCCACCTCCACCGCCCCCGCCAGCCCCTCCAGCGCCCTTGCCCCCCTTGCCCTTGCCGGTGCGGCGTCGCCCGCTAGGGGCAGACGCAGCGCCGACCGACTCGGTGCCAACGAAGTCGACGGCAGCAGCAGAGGCAACAGAGGGCAAAAGAGGGGAGGGGGAGCACCCCTCAAAGACAGGGGCACGCGGGTCACCTCGAGAGGCTCCTACAGCGACTATACTCTTCTCAGCTGCCAGGAGGCGCTCCTCGAGGAGGTCAACGGTGAGTGTGGTGGGGCAAACTGAGAGGAAGTGGTCCCTGACCGAGCGAAGGGAGTCAGGGAGCCGGGTGACTATGTAGTAGAGGGTGATGTACATGGGGGGGGGGTTCTTGGCGCAGAACTCAGCAGGAAGCGCAGCGCGGTAGCGGGTGTCACTAGTGCGAAGGTGCGTAACGAGGTCAGCGACAGTGGGAAAGGCGGCGAGGTCAGGAAACAGGTACGGCAGTATGAGGCGGCTAAGAGCAGCAGTGGCAGGGGAAGAGTAGCGTGCAACTACAGCGTCGTACAAGGTCTTAGCACTCTTGTACTGACTAAAGTGCGCACGCTCAGCGGTCGGTAAGTGGCGACGCACAGCAAGAAGGGCAGCAGCATCGCGCGTGGCCCACTGTGAGCGAACAGTGCTGTCAGCATCAGCAGGCGGGGCAGGAGAGGCACCAGAGGTGAGATCGAACAGGGAGAGTCCGTCCCTATCGCACTGTAGGAAAAGCTGCAGGTCATTGACCCAGACCTCGAAGTCAACAGCACGACCCTCAGCATCAAAGGTAAGGACACTGGGGGTAGCCATGACAGCAGTGGTCTGGCAGGGAGGGCTCTCACCAGTCCGGGTGGGTAGGGCCAGGGCGCACCGGGAGGAACAGGGCTGCAACAGTGGTGGCAGCGGCTCGGCAGTGGCAGTGGCGGCTCGACGGCGGCCTCGGCGGCTCGGCGGCTCGGCTGCAGGCGGCTCGGCTGCTCGGCGGCTCGGCTGCTGGGCGGCTCGGCGGCTCGGCTGCTGGGCGGCTCGGCGGTTTGGCGGCTCGGCTGCTCGGCGGCTCGGCTGCTCGGCGGCTCGGCTGCTCGGCTGTTCGGCTGCTCGGCGGCTCGGCAATGAAGGGGCCAGGGAGGGGCCGAAAGGGGGGGGCGGCGACGGGGCCGCAAGGGGCGGCGACGGGGCCGCTAAGGGCGGCGACGAGGCCGCTAGAGGGTGGCGACGGGGCCGGGAAGGGCGGCGACAGGGGCCGCTAGGGGCGGCGACGGGGCCGCGAAGGGCGGCGACGGGGCCGCGAGGGGCGGCGACGGGGCCGCGAAGGGGCCGTGAGGGGCCTGGAAGGGTGGCGACGGGGCCGCTAGGGGCGGCAACGGGGCCGCGAAGGGGCCGCGAGGGGCCTGGAGGGGCGGCGACGGGGCCGCTAGGGGCGGCGACGCGGCCGCGAAGGGGCCGCGAGGGGCCTGGAAGGGCGGCAACGGGGCCGCTAGGGGCGGCGACGGGGCCGCGAAGGGGCCTTGAGGGGCCTAGAAGGGTGGCGACGGGGCCGCTAGGGGTGGCGACGGGGCCGCTAAGGGTGGCGCGAGGGGCCTCTAGGAGGGCTCGACAAGAGGGCGGCCCACGGGGCGCGCCTCAGGCAGGGGCGACTCGCGCTCCGGTCAGAAAAAAAGTCGATTTTCAGTGGTGGGCCCTAGGAAGTTCCCACTAGGGAACCTGCTCTATACCATGTGAGAATTGAGGAATGAAATGAACTAGCAAGCAGGTGGGTACAAGTAGGAAAACCTAAAAGTGTTGTACCCCATATTGTCTACCCCACTACAGCCTACACAGACTATAGCATATGAGTTTGACAGCTGAGATCTACGCTGGGGCCATGGTTGCACATGAGTAACGCTGGCTCACCTACCTGCTGACCGACTTGGGAGAGGCGCCTCGTTCTCCTCCAGTTCTGTACGTCGACAACAAGGCCATGCTTGCCTTGTGTCAGGAGCACAGACTGGAGCACAAAACGAAGCACATTGCTCTGCGATACTTCCTTGCTCGAGAGTTGCAGCAGCGTGGTCAGCTTCGTCTTGCGTACGTGGCCACTAGGGCCAACACTGCTAATATATTCACCAAGGCACTTCAGTCTGGTGATCATCAGCGCTTCTCTACTATTTTAGGCCTTGTGCCTACTTTGCCTCACTTGCTCACTGCGTGATTTTGTTTGTAGTGTGATCTATATATATATACCTGCATGCTTACTCTTGCTAGGATGTGATCACTGTACTATTTGTTCTCTTTTATACAACTCAGTATATGAACTGGCCATTGTGGCCCTTTGCTTGTGCTCGGAATGTGTGGTGACTTTGTGATCCACCCTGAGCTTGCTTTGCTTTTCTTGACTGGTCTTGTGACCACTTGTTCTCCCCCACTTTGCCTATGGGGGTGTGTCAGAATGTTATATTGCTTACTTGTATAGGCTATAGTGGGGTAGCCCATAAGGGGTACAACCCAATTAGGGTTAGTACTTGTACCCAACTCTTTCATAGTTCATTAATTCTCGTTCGTTATTCTGACAGGGAATGTTGAGTGAGCCGTTTGAAAATAGAGAAACGTGGGTGGAGGGAAATGAACTCCAACCCACGGTTTTCGTAGTTGGAGAAGGGCGTTTAGCGCGCTTTGACGATGCCAATTGTGCAATACAAGCAGCTTCGCTTTCACAATACACAACTTAAAAAAAACTCTATGTGTGTTAAAAAATTATAATATTGAGAAATTTTGCTTTCTTATTCTTATCAATTGGCATCGTTCTCATTACAAATGGGGTCTCTGAGACATAGGCAGCGGGTGCCTCCGGTTACGTACGAGTGCCTCTGTGTGTTGTGCCAAAGTCACCGCATGCGTTGGATCTTGTAGGTTGCGGGAGGCTTTGATGAGAGGCTCGAAGTATGGCGTCACATACATTTCCTTTGTTGTGTCGCTTCGCCATCTGCCCAGCCGTCTGAAGACTCTGTCTGGCACTCCAGTGTTGGCTGCTACTGTGGCTGCGCCTTTTCGGAAAGAATGACTGCCGAGCTACAACTCGCCAAGGCCAACCTTTGCGAAGGCTTCCTTGAGGGTGTTGCGCTACTTGTGCAGTACGTCGGGCATGGGGCTCGTGCTTGGAGGACGGGGTCCAGTTGTCCTCACTAGTCACGCAGACGCTTCTTGGGTTGACGACTTGGCTACGCAACGGTCGTCACAGGGTTACACCTTCAGCCTTGGTTCTGGCTCTATTTCTTGGCGGTCTACCCGCTCATCCTCGGTTCTCAGTTCCAGTTGTGAGGCTGAGATCTACGCAGGGGCCATGGCTGCACAGGAGTTACGCTGGCTCACCTACCTGCTGACTGACTTGGGAGAGCAGCCTCGTTCGCCTCCAGTTCTGTACGTAGACAACAAGGCCATGATTGCCTTGTGTCAGGAGCACAGACTGGAACACAGAACGAAGCACATCGCTCTGCAATACTTCCTTGCTCGAGAGTTGCAGCAGCGTGGTAAGCTTCGTCTTGCGTACGTGGCCACTAGGGCCAACACTGCTGATATATTCACCAAGGCACTTAAGTCTGGTGATCATTTGTGCTTCTCTACTGTTTTAGGCCTTGTGCCTACTTTGCCTCACTTGCTCACTGCGTGACTTTGCTTGTACAGTGATCTACATATATATACCTGCATGCTTACTCTTGCTAGGCTGTGATCACTGTACTGTCTGTTCTCTTTATATAACTATGTTTCTGAACTGGCCATTGTGGCCCTTTGCTTGTGCTCGGAATGTGTGGTGACTTTGTGATCCACCCTGAGCTTGCTTTTGTCAGAATAATGAAGGAAGGAATGACTGAACTAGCAAGCAGGTGTTTACAAGTAGGAAACCTAAAAGTGTTGTACCCTATATGAACTACCCCACTACAGCCTAGACAGACTATAGCATATAAGTTTGACACACCCCCATAGGCAAAGTGGGGGAGAACAAGAGGTCACAAGACCGGTCAAGAAAGGCAAAGCAAGCTCAGGGTGGATCACGACGTCACCACACATTCTGAGCACAAGCAAATGGCCACAAGGCCAGTTCACATGCAGAGTTATATAAAGGAGAACAAACAATACAGTGAACACAACCTAGCAAGTGTAAGCATGCAGGTATATGTATAGAGATCACAGTACAAGCAGAGTCAAGAAGTGAGCAAGTGAGGCCAAGTAGGCACAAGACCTAACATAGTACAAAAACGCTGATGATCACAAGGCTGAAGTGCCCTGGTAAAGATATCAGCAGTGTTGGCCCGAGTGGCCACGTAAGCAAGACGGAGCTGACCACGCTGCTGCAACTGTCGAGCAAGGAAGTAGCGCAGAGCAATGTGCTTCGTTCTGTGCTCCAGTCTGTGCTCCTGACACAAGGCAAGCATGGCCTTGTTGTCGACGTACAGAACTGGAGGAGAACGAGGCGCCTCTCCCAAGTCGGTCAGCAGGTAGGTGAGCCAGCGTAACTCCTGTGCAGCCATGGCCCCAGCGAAGATCTCAGCCTCACAACTAGAGCTGAGAACAGAAGACGAGTGGGTAGACCGCCAAGAGACAGAGCCGGAGCCAAGGCTGAAGGTGTAACCCTGTGACGACTGCTGCGTAGCCAAGTCGTCAACCCAGAAAGCGTCTGCGTGACCAGTGAGGACAACTTGAGCCCGCCTTCAAGCACGAGCCCCATGCCCGACGTACTGCACAAGTAGCGCAACACCCTCTTAGCTCCATCCATGTGCTCCTTCCTGTGTCTGCCAGGAGCGACATAGCGTGCTAGAATGCTAAGAGGGTAGGCAAGGTCAGGTCGAGAGCAGGTCATCAGGTACATGAGGCAGCCCACAAGCTCTGGATACGGGCCACTCGGCTCTACGGACTCGTCCGAAGGTGGAGCTGAGAGCGAGTGACCGGTAGGCAGAGGAGTGGACTGTGGCGAGGAGTACGTGAAGCCGAAGCGCTGAAGGACCTGCTGCACCATGTGTGACTGAGTCAAGGTAATGGTGCGCTGTGCTCTGTCCTGGGTGATCCGCAAGCCAAGATAGCTTGTCAGCTCACCCAGGTCTGTGCACGTGTGTCTCTTCTGCAGCTCCGACTTCACGTGGGCGAGTGCCTCAGTGTCAGCAGTAGCAAAGACCAAGTCGTCAACGTACACGAGAACGTAGAACGGCGGCAGAGTGGTGTCAGTGCGTAGAAACAGCGACGGGTCAGCAGTGGAAGGAGCAAACCCAAGAGCAGCAAGAGTCGTCCTCAGTGTGTCATGCCACTCACGAGGTGCCTGGCGGAGATCGTAGACTGGCCGCCGGAGGCTCCACTGGGTACCAGTAGGAAACGACCCAGTGAAGCCAGGTGGGCGGCGCAGCCAGATCTCCTCGTGCAGGCTGCCCTGTAGGAAGGCTGTGCTGAAGTAAAGAGAGTGTAGCTCGTAGTCACGCTGAGCGGCGACGTGCAGCAGCACCCGAAGAGTGGTCATCTTCGGGGTAGGGGAGAAGGTCTGGAAGAAGTCAACTCCCTGTCGCTGACTGAAGCCTCGTGCAACGTAACGCGCCTTGAAGACAGGCGGAGAACCCGGCGGCCGCTTCACCCTGAAGATTCACATGCCACTGACGATGTTCGCCCCAGGCGGGGGAACCTCGTCGACGTAGGTGCATGTGGATTTCCAGGAAGCCATCTCTGTGTCCATGGCTGTCTGCCACTGAGAGGAGTAGGGACCCTCTATCGCCTCTGCGTAAGAGCGCGGGGTCGGGATGTCTGGTGCATCCAGGTCTCCCTCAGGGGCAAGCAGCATGGACACGAGATGAGGTAAAGCAGCGGCAAAGCACTCAAACTCCTCCTGTCTGTCCTCAAGGACGTGCGTGCCAAGAGCACACTCACCCCCGACGGACGGAGGATAGACAGACGCAGACTCAGACTCAGCAACAAGACTAGCGGCGTGGTCTAGACGACAGGCGGCAGCAAAGTCAACAAGCTCAGCAACTAGAGTAGACGCAGCAGTGGACTCAAAGGATTGCGGAAGTGGCGAATATGTGCGCGGTACGGGGAGTTTGCAAGAAAGGCGGAACGGGGTAATTGCGCCAAGTGTTGCGGGACCTGTTGGTACACGTGTCAACCAGGCATTGGTCCAGGGTGAAGGCAGCTTGGCGCAGTGTGGGGATGGAAGGGAGGAGGGGCATAGGCGGAGCATGGGCGCGGAGGGGATGGGAAGGGGAAGGGGGGGATCGAGTGTGGATGGGATGGGGAGAGGAAGGGGGGAAGGGATGGGAAGGGGAATGGGGGAAGGGATGGGAAGGGGAATGGGGGAAAGGATGGGAAGGGGAAGCGGAAGGGGAAGGGGAGTTTTGGAGAGGACAGTGGGGGGAGGTAGCTGGAAGGAGCGGCAGTTGGGGCGAGAGGGCATGGGATGGGGGGAGCTGGGGGGTGGGGGGCAAGAGGCGGTCGGGGAGGGGGAGGGCATGGCATGGCGCAGAGGGAGCATGGGGGATGCGGATTGGCGGATTGGTGGGGGAGGGGATGCTGCCGGTGTGCACCGCAGGGCGGCTACAGTAGCTGGCCTGGGCGGCATCCAAGACGTGGGCGGCATGGGCGGCATGAGTGGTATGGTGCGAGACAATGGGGGTGAAATGGATGCAACTGTGGGCGTGGGAATCGTGCAGGGGACAGCAACGGCAGTGGGGAGGGGGAGGGCCCTTTTATATAGGGCCATGGGAGGAGGTAGCTGGAAGGAGCACGCGGTGGGGCGAAACGGAATGAGTGGTGGCGTGGGCAACATGGGCGGTATGGGCGGCAGTCAGAGGGAAAGGCCAACTGGTGGGCAGGTGGGGGAGTGGTTGGAGCAGGCACACGTTCCTGTAATGCATAAGACTGTAACGAGGATGGGCCAATCAAACCACTCCGGGCGGCAACAGGAGACGCCCCTCTTCGAGCCCCACGGCAGGCCTCTGCTCGCCTCTCACCAGCACTGCTCGCTTCAAAGGCGTGACCCAGCGGTGGTGCCAGCTCAGCGTGCCAGTCTTCCAGGTCAGCAGAGCGCTATGCCAGGTCAGCAGAGCACAGCTGTGGCTCGTGATCTGCAGCACCGAGCATCGTGCGCTCCTCTCGGCCTTGAGGGTGTGCCCATCTCCCAACCCAACGACCAGCACTTGCAGCAGCAACACACTCAGCGGCATTCCCAGCAGCAACCCCAGCAGCACTATCAGCAGCTCAGCCAGCCAAGAGGCCCGTCCTTTCAACCCCTCAATGCTGCTGCTGCTGTGCCAGCACGCACTGGTTGCGCCCGCGGCACCGCCTCAGCGTCAAGCGCTGAGCATCGCTTGCAAGTCACTGATGGGCGCGGAGGGAGCAAGTCCGCCTCTCTCCCCCTCAATGCTGCTGCCACTGCCGCATCTACTGGGGGGGCGGCAATCATCTGCACTGCTCCTGCTCCTGCTCGTGGGGGCAGCAGCCAGTGCGCCTCTCTGCACCGCCGCATGCTCACCTTCCCCCTCCCCGCCCCCTCTCCCCACACCCGCATCTCTCCTCCTCGTCCTTCTCCTGCGCCTCCTCCTCCTGCTGCTGCTGGTGGTGTGGCTTCTGCTGCTGGTGGTCCCACTGCGGTGTCCCTTCCTACTCGTACGGCTGCTGCTGCTACCTGCTACCTGTTGTCAGGATGGGTACGACGGCAGGGTGTTGTCTAGGCCCATCAGCTACAGTTACGACTGTTAATGCTTGTATGCGCTGTTATAGTGTAACTTGCATTGCCAAAAAAAAATAATAATCGCTATCAGTGTAAACCGAAACTTAGCCTGTTTGCTCTAGGGTAAAAAGTTAGATACCCTGTTTTGAAAAGGGTAACTGGGAAAAAGCGGCCGCCCATCAGGGCAAACAGGATATTTTACCCTGATAATTTGGGCCCTGCTGATGAGTGCAAATTGGGGACAAAACCTTGGCAGCATTGCGATTCAGGGGTTTGGTGTTGCTGAACGGTGGCTGGTGTCTTTGTTCCATTATTTCTTTGATTAGCACAGGATTGTAGATATATGTACCTTAAATGCTATTCCACAAAGCAATCCTACACTACAATGTTATGTAAACTGTAAGGAGATTTCTAATCCCTTACGGAGTCACTCTGTACGTAACTTTCGGAAGATCAGGCTGGTCGTCGACTTGTCGCCTTCAGACTCCACAACCCAAGACCAGCACCCAACCTTATCTCTCCAAGGTTCCCGCCTTGTGTGGCTGGCAGGCAATCTCACTTGTCCGGCATGATCAGGTCAGGTAAAGCAGAGGCATTGCCCCCTTTGCTTTGGCCTCTTTGGCATGATCAGGTTAGGTGCGTCATTGGCCGAGTGGGATGTTGCCAATCTGGCGGGTTCCATCAATTGGCTGGATTCACGTGGGATGGTTCTACTGAACTGTATAGCGCGTATGCTAGATGTCCGTCGAAACTCGAGAGCTTGACATGACATATGTTTGGAACAGAAAACGTTTCTAAGGGAAGTTCAGCTCGTTCATTTACTGTTCGTAAAGCCCTTCAGTTACCACAATTTGCGTTGTAACACTGAGTTTTACAAAAATGCCAGACACGATCAGCTCCCGTTCACGATACGGCACACCCCCTGCACGTACCTCGAATCGTGTGACGCACGTTACAGGAATCAGCGTGCGCATCGAACAATGGTACAGAACCGCGTCCTGCCCACTACAGTGAGTGCCCATCGTATCGCGCGCTTGATTTCGCATGTGCCGCCTGACCCTCGCCAAAACCTATAGTGGAAGTGTTGGCCTGGCGAAAATTCTAACGCTTTGGTTGACGAGGGAACTGGTTACCTTGGTTGCCACACGGCCCCTGCACTGTTGAAGTCTGTGTGGGGGGATGGTGTCCGCGCGCCAGAATGACAGAAAGGGTGGACTCGAGCAAGGCTCGTTCGTTTATAGGTACAGTGTTCAGTTTTGAACCCCGGATCGTGAGGAGGTACTAGATTTCCCGAAATGAACGAGCTGGACACGCCCTAAGCCCAGGAAACGTTCGAAACAGTGAGGCCGAAAGTTTTGTGGAATGCCTGGCCGTACTTTTTGGAATGCCCTGGCCGTCTACCTACCTAATCGCGAAACAGATACAGTCACTCATGGCGCGGTTCTTGCGGGGGGAAGCTGGGACGGGGGAACTGGGGGGAGTTGCGGGTAACTACCGTAGATTAGGGCGGGGCAGCGGCGGACAGCCGGCTCCTCCTGTCCAGTCACCACCGCGCGCCTTTTCCCTTCAAGGATTCGTTGTCATTCGCGACAAGTTGTCAGCCAAGAATGTGCGTTCACGTGCCATTCTCGCCAGGCCACCCATTTTCTCTCTTTTGTGGCTGCAGAAGTCACTCGTTTGTGCGGCCAACTTCGATTAGACGATCGCCGCTCGTCTGTTTGAGAGTTTGGTTGTTGTGTGTGGCTGGTTGGCGATGTCACTGGGACCGATTTAGGTCAGGTGCAGCCGTCGTCCGTGCGGGATGTGGCCAATCTGGCAGGCTCCATCAATTGGCTGAGTTCGCTTCACGCATAGTGGTGGTACTGTACAGTGCGTATAGTATATACCACACTGAGACGGCTCCCGGAGCCGTTCAGGTGAACAGATACCCGTGACTCCTGAAGGCACTGTTTGGTACGGATTCACAACGTTTGAAGCTGGCGGTGGTAGTACGGCCACATACTAATGAGACGGCTGCTCGAGCCGCCGTTCACCCGTGATGGTGGTATCTGTCCCATATTAGTCACTTGAAGGCTCTGTTTGGGACCGGTTCACAACATTAAAGTTGACGATGGTATCTACCACATACTAATGAGACGGCTGCTCCCCGAGCCGCCTCGGGCTGGGTTCCTGTACAGCACGCTCGGCGGAAAATTTCCCCCCATCAGCGGAGTCCTCCCGCTGCGGACCCCTCCAAGGCTGGGTTAAGTTAGGTTTTGCTGGCGGCGGCCTGGGGCCTCCGGCGCGAGAGAGATGCGCATCATGTTTCCTCGTTTTGGTGTAACCTTTCCGCGGCCTCGCAAGTATTCAGCTTCCGCGGAAGTTCCGCGTCCTCATTCCTCGTAGTACTAAAAGCCACGAAGCCCATAGCTTTGCTCACACTTCCCGTCAGTAACCCATCATCGACCCATGCCTTGGCCTTCTATGCTCCACGATCGCCGCCGCGCTCTCTCTCGCTCGCCGCGCTCTCAAGAGCGATTTCTGAGGAACATGGTCATCATTATGCCAACTTCTGGCTGCGGCCGCCGCATTGGGCTTGTCTCGCTGCTGGCGACTCTGATGATCGTAGCAGGTGAGAACTTTGATTAAAGGAGTTAATAGTAATCGTAATCAGCGTCGTTGCAGGTGAATTGCCGTTCCAAGTCATAGCAGCGCAGCCAATGATCGCTGCTGCTGCTGACTGTCGCCGACGATGGTCGGTGCTGATGATGATGCGGTCGTGGTGATAGTCGCCCACCCATGATCGTGATCGTCGCCCGGCGATGGTGATCATCGCCAGTGATGAGCCACGCACATGGTTCTCGTGATAGTTGCTGCCGTCAACCGAGAATAACCGTCGCCATCGTCGCTGGTGAGGGTCATCGCTGGTGAGGGTCGTCGCTGGTGACAATCGCCGCAATGCCTCCTCTTCTGCCGCCTGTCTTTCCTTCCTCCGCCCCAACCGAGTTGCATTCACCAGACAGAGGCTGATCGTCTGATTGCCACTACTATGCCTTTCTTCTGGTTGTCAAGATCATTCCTTCCTTCACCAGGCAGAGGCTGATCTTCTGATCTCTATCTCCGACTCCCCTCTCCTCCCTCTACCCTCTCTCTCCTCTCCTCTCCTCCCCTCCCCTGTCCCTCCAGCCTCCATGCCTCACGCCAAGGCTCTTGTCCTGCCACCAGCCTGTCCTCAGGGGAAAGTGTGGAACGCCGACGTGCAAGTCTGTGTCTGTGAGTTGATGCACTCTGCTGCCGCCACTCCTGCTGCTGCCGCTGCTGCTGCCGCCATTGCCGCTGTTGCTGTCGGCACCATTGCTGCTATTGCTGCTGCCGTCTCAATCTATCCTGCAAGATCTCTCTCCCTGCTGTAGATCCTTCAGAGAGCAACAACCCTAGCCAGGCCTGCTCTAGCACCACCTTGTTCTCTTGCCTCTCTCTCACCCGCCCAATCCTCTGCGCCCGTCTACCCCCTGCGCTGTGCTCCTCTGTGCCGTGCCTCCACCAGCCACGTGCCGCATTGCCAAGGGATGCCCGTCCAATTACTGCGACAACGGACTCTGCTTGTGCCGGCCTGGTCTAGTCATGCTCCCCGATGGAAGATGTGCCAGTGAGTGACTATGTTGATGGCTGGTGTGATGTGAGTGACTATGTTGAGGGTGCTTTCTCATGATACATGCCCCGTGCCCGTGTCCCGTGATACTATATTCCATGCCCTATGCCCCATGCTTCGTGCCTCATGGCCCTTGCCCCATGCCCCATGCACCATGCACCATGCCCCGTGCCCCATGCATGCACCATGCCCCGTGCCCCATGCATGCACCATGCCCCGTGCCCCATGCAGCATTAACACGCTAGGTATCCCGCTTTACTAACAAGCTCCTGCCCCACTTGTTCAAACTGCCTCCATCTCTCTTCCCAGATTCCTGTGATGGTGTGGAGTGCGGTCCCGACTCTTCTTGCAACTCCGACGCTGAATGCATTTGCAACCCCGGCTATAACACGCTACCTGATGGTACTTGCACTGGTGCGTGTTCCCCCTCTCCCTCTCTCTCCCTCTCTCCCTCTACCCCCTTCCCTCTGGAGGGGGAAAATGCTCACGTTGGGACTTGACGTGTCACTCACTCACTCTCGCACTCTGTCTGTCTGTCCCACGCTCTGGCACTAGATTTCTGCTCAAATTCTCTCCTTTTCTCTTCCCCCGCTCTCCCCCTCCCCCGTCCCAACCCCCCTCTCTCTCTCACTCTCTTTCTCTCTCCTTCCCTCCACACTCTCACTCCCTCTGACCTTACCATGTACCAGAATCGTGCAGCATCAAGACGTGTGGCGCTGGGGAAGAGTGTCTGGATTTCAGCGGCGACAACGGCGAGTCGGTCTGCAGATGCCTCGATGGATACGTTGGGGAGCCTGGATCTTGTCTTGGTACGTAGTGTGCATATTGATGCCCCTCGCCCCCTCTCCCGCACTCTCTCTCACGATTTCTTGCCCAACATGCGCCCTGGTAGGGAACTCGCCTCTTCCGCCTCTTCCACCTTCTTTTCCCCCCGCTCTCCCTCTCCCCCGTCCCAACCCCCCTCTCTCTCTCTCTCCTCCCCTCCACACTCTCACTCCCCCTGACCAATGACCATTTACCAGAATCGTGCAGCATCAAGACGTGTGGCGCTGGGGAAGAGTGTCTGGATTTCAGCGGCGACAACGGCGAGTCGGTCTGCAGATGCCTCGATGGATACGTTGGGGAGCCTGGATCTTGTCTTGGTACGTAGTGTGCATATTGATGCCCCTCGCCCCCTCTCCCGCACTCTCTCTCACGATTTCTTGCCCAACATGCGCCCTGGTAGGGAACTCGCCTCTTCCGCCTCTTCCACCTTCTTTTCCCCCCGCTCTCCCTCTCCCCCGTCCCAACCCCCCTCTCTCTCTCTCTCTCTCTCCTCCCCTCCACACTCTCACTCCCCCCCCTGACCAATGACCATTTACCAGAATCGTGCAGCATCAAGACGTGTGGCGCCGGGGAGGAGTGTCTGGAATTTGGTGGCGTCAACGGCGAGTCAGTCTGCAGATGCCTCGATGGATACAGTGGGGAGCCCGGATCGTGTGTTGGTACGTAGTGTGCTTTTCTGTCTGCATATTTGCCCCTCGCCCCCTCTCCTGCACTCTCTCTCACGCTTTCTTGCCAGCAACATGCGCCCTGGTAGGGAACTCGCCTCTTCCACCTTTCAACCACTCGTCCGCTCTATCTTATCTACACCCGTTCGTCCCCTCCATCCGCCAGAAACCTGCTACGTCACAGGCTGTGGCGAAAATGAGGAATGTGATAACAACGGAGGGCTTTACGAATGCACATGCAAGGATGGGTGCACGCGGAAAATGGATCGTGTTCTTTCACACCCCCTCTCTTAGTTCTTTGAATCCCAAGTCTAAACTCTCCTCTGCAAACTCCTTTTTCAAACTGCCTCCGTTTCCCCTCCCAGATCTCTGCGATCGCATAAACTGTGGCACCAACTCTTTCTGCAAGGCGGGTATATGCGGGTGCAACGACAACTACGTCATTTCGCCATTTGGCAATTGCACTGGTGCGTGCTCGCTCTCTCGCTGTCAAGAACAATCACTGATCGCCTATCCCGGGGCACTAGACCCAGGGGGCTCAACCACATAAAGGACCTGCTCAAAGCTATGGAACTGAGAGACCAAGCTATGGGACTGGGCCATGAGACTGGCCCCGGCGTCACCTGGCGTAACTTCGACTGGAGGACGACGGCTTGCTGCCTCTCTGGCGCATGCCAGACCACCAGCGGCTGCTGCCTATGATCAGTACATAGGACGGAGGGAGAAGGATCATCGGCGCAACCCTGCGCAGAAGGACCAAAGGAACTCGCCTATCAGAAGAGCGGCACACTTCCTCATCCCCCCCCGTGCCTTGAGTGAGAGTCATGCTTGCAATCCAGCTGCCCTCACTGCCTCTCCGTTGCTGCCTCCCGTGCCTTTCCCTCCCTTCGCTTCCCCTTCCCCCTCCCTTCCCCTCAGAGCCATGCGCTGTGGACAACTGCGGAACGAATGCCTTGTGTTTCCTGAATGCATCAGGGAGTGACACGTGTGCCTGCAAGGATGGGTACACCAGGACTCCCAGTGATGCCTGCATGGGTGAGTGTTGCTGCAGTCGCTGCATGGCTGGCTGATGTGCCTGTCACCTGTGGCACAGGGTAAGTGCCTGCCTTGTTCATGCTGTTGTCTTATACCTCACCCGTTCCGTTCGTTTCAACTTCCAACCTCTCCCTCCCTCCCTCCTTCGCCCTCTCCTTTCCTCTCTCCTCCACCCAACTTCCCATCCTGATCGCTCACACTCTTTAAAATCCTCCCTTGTTGACCCTGAGGCCCCGCTTTCTCTTGCGGATCCGCCCTATCTCTCGCTTATGTCTTCCTCTTTGATCTTCCTTCCAGACTCGTGCGTTGTGAAGGGATGTGGTGCCAACACCACGTGTGTCAAGGGCAAGCGTGACCTGGCATTATGCATCTGCAATCAGGGCTTCAGAAATGTGTCCGGGGAATGCATTGGTACGTAAATTAGAATGCTGGCTGCGTGTCTCCCTATTTCTGCAGGAAGGCAAGTGCGCAAGGCAAACTTGCTACGCCTTTTCTAAAATACCTTGCCAGTGGTGCATAATATGGTTTTTATAACTTCAGATAAGGGCATTGGTATTTTACAGGTGGGGATAATATGTTTGGGAAATGCATTATTAATGTACAGTTTTTATCTTGGCTTGGTTCGAGAATATTCATCATCATTGTCTTTCGCCCTTACCCCTCACTTTCCCTGCTTGATCAATCTTGCATGATCATTCTCTTTCTATACATCTATTATCCCAAAATCTCATATCACTTGCAACCGTTTTCTCATTGTCCTCACCCTCCTTCACGTTCTTTCTTATCATTGCCACCCCTCCCGTCAGATGTATGCGAACTCTGTGATTCCCATGCTACATGTGAGACGGACCAGCGAAGTGGAGATAAAACCTGCCGTTGCAACGACGGTTACTACATGCTACCGAATAACACCTGTGCTGGTGCGTATATTTGGCCTCCTTCACTTTACCCCATCCCCAATACTCGCTCTTGGTCTCACCACCCCTCACCTCCTTTAGCAATGGAATCACCCCTTACCCTCCCTCCTCCCCCCTCTCTCAAATGGTCCTGTGTTTGAACGCACAACCGCCGCTCCCCCCTCTCCATTCTGCCTCCCCCCTTCCCCCCCCCCTCTCCCCATGATCCCTCTCTCTTCCTTCCATTCCTTCGCCAGCAACATGCATCGCCACGGGCTGTGACTTGGGTTCTAGCTGCGTTGGAGACGTTGCTCAAGACATGTATTGCGCTGGTACGTGACATTTCGAGACGTTTTAGGGCGGTTGGTTGGAATGGCTCTACTTCATCCTCTTTCTCGTGCATTTTCTTGCCCGCCTTCCTCTTTCCGTTCCGTTCCATGCTTGGCAAGTTGGCATCATTAATACTTGTAGAGCATCTGACCTTTTGGATTTTGAGAGTAAAAAATTCACACAAAATGCATTTCCCCCATGCCGTGCATTTCCTGATAGTACCGTGAGATAGAGCTTTGGGGTGGTCGAATACCTCCCTTCCTTCTCAAACTTACTTGCGTTTTTCCAACTGTTTGTTTTTTGAATCCTCCCTGTCAGATAATTGCAATTTCAAGGGATGCCACGACTCGGCTATGTGTGTCAAGGACGCTGTATCTGGAAAGGCATCCTGCCAGTGCAGCGCAGGCTTCACCATGCAATCTGATGGAAGTTGCAAAGGTGTGTATTGGTGGTTTCCTTTGCTTCACGTGACGCCTACTTGGTGCTTCCTCCCTCCCTAACCCTCGGTAAGAGACAGATCACAAGTGTTGTTTTGTGGCTCCTCAAAGCTGTCGAGAGATTGCGACCAAATCTGCCTTTTGTGTCGGTACTTAGCATACCTCTTCATTGATGTTGCACTAAATTATCTTACCTCTTATCCCCTTCCTATCTACCCCTCTCTCATCCCCGTTTCTCGCCATCTTCCCCCGATTTGCACTCTCTTCACCTCTCTTCACCTCTCCACCTTTCTCCCTTTTTATGTCCTCCATCCCTCTTTCAGATGACTGCGAGAGTAAGGCCTGTGGTGAGCGAGGAGTGTGCGAGCATGACCCTGTCACTTTGGAAGCCACCTGCATTTGCTTTATGGACGGCACCGTCTTGCTGCCAAATGGGACTTGCATCGGTGCGTACATGATCTCCCTCGCTCTCTCTTCCCCCCTCCCCTTCACTCCCCCCTCTCTACGTATTCAAGAAGCTTCATTGATGTGCCATAGCTATAATGGATAACTCTCCCCCTCTCTATCTCTCCCGTCCTCTCTCCACCAATCATCTGCCAGATAAGTGCTGGGCAAGGTGGTGCTGGCCCCCATCCGTTTGTCGTGACGATATTACCTGCACATGTGGCGACAACATGATTGGCGAGCCTGGATCTTGTCTCAGTACGTTGTGTATGGGAGTACAGGAAATGGTTGAGCAACGAACCATCCATCCATCCAGAAACATGCGATCACCCACAACGTACCGGAAATCTTCCGACGGAGCAAGTAGTGTTTTCCCCACTACTCCCACAATTTGCAGTCGTCCACTTTTCCGCCATCTCAACTCCATACAATAAACTTGTTTTTAACTTCTGAGATTTCATTGCTCAGTCCAAACCAAACTGCATGCTGACATGTGCAATGTCAACAACTGAACGTTTCCCCTCCCTCTCTCCTGCATACCCCCTCTCTCCTGCATACCCCCTCTCTCCTGCATACCCCCTCTCTCCTGCATACCCCCTCTCTCCTGCATACCCCCTCTCTCCTGCATACCCCCTCTCTCCTGCATACCCCCTCTCTCCTGCATACCCCCTCTCTCCTGCATACCCCCTCTCTCCTGCATACCTCCTCTCTCCTGCATACCCCCTCTCTCCTGCATACCCCCTCTCTCCTGCATACCCCCTCTCTCCTGCATACCCCCTCTCTCCTGCATACCCCCTCTCTCCTGCATACCCCCTCTCTCCTGCATACCCCCTCTCTCCTGCATACCCCCTCTCTCCTGCATACCCCCTCTCTCCTGCATACCCCCTCTCTCCTGCATACCCCCTCTCTCCTGCATACCCCCTCTCTCCTGCATACCCCCTCTCTCCTGCATACCCCCTCTCTCCTGCATACCCCCTCTCGTGCCATCCATCCGCCAGTGACATGCGATCACCCAGACGTGAATTGCAGCTTTGAAGAAGAATGTATACCTCAAAGCATCGAGAAGCGGACCCATGCTAAATGCGTGTGCAAGGATGGATACCTTCGCACACACTCAGGCATTTGTGCCCGTACGTATGCTCTTTTTCATTCTTGCAATTCTCTCTTCGTTCCTCTCAAGCGGTCATGTTTTAGAATAGGCAAAGGTGTACAAGCCTTAGCAAGGTAAGGCCGATGTAGCTAGACAACAAGAAGCAAGTCATATGGCATACACAAGAATACATAGAATGCCCCCGAGCAACACCCCCTACCACCCCCCACTCATTGCTCTTTTGCTACCCCGCTGAGACTCTCGCTCCTCCGTGTCACCCTTCACATCCTCGGTCTGCCGAGACTGTGCCGTAGTGGCCTTTGATAGGAGAGATTTGAGAACCCCCCCCCCCCCCCCCCCCCCCCCCCCGCCTTCTCTCTCTTTCTCTCTCTCCCTCTCCCTCTCTGTCTACCTTTGCACATTCCCATCTCCCACATACCCCCTCTCACCAACCATCTGCCAGCCACATGCAAACTTCTGGGCGATCCGTCCAGTGTATATTGGTGTGGTATTGACGAAGAATGTCGTGACGACCTCCCCAACGGGATCGCTGGAACCTGCGACTGTAGGGTTGGATACAATCGCTACGACGGACTGTGTGTTGGTAAGTTTGTACATACGCATGTGCTGTCCTTTGTGCTGGTACGTACGTATGTTTGTGCTGTCCTCCATTTTCACCATCTTCATCTCTCCCCCTCCTACTTCACCTCTCTCTTGAGGCTCATCTGCAGTAGCATGTGAAGTCACGCAGCGTTGTGAATGAGGTTTGTGTGGATTACGGAATAATCTGCTTGCGTGTGCAGATTACGGAATAATCTGCTTGCGTGTGTGGATTACGCACGTATGTGCGTGTGCTTGCACAATAGCACAGCTTAATCTGTGTAATCAGGGGAATTTTGATGATTCTGTCAAGCCAATCCCATGAATAATTACCATTCCCCCTGCTGGATCGCCTCTGTTGATCCGTGGCAGTGTGGTGGGTGTCTCATCCTGCATGCCTCACCTGCTTACACACTCCTGTTTTCTCTCTATCTCTGTCCAGAGTTTCTTCATGACAATTGCACTGCTGACAACTGTGGTAACGGCAATTGCGTTGAGCAAAGGCAGTGGTGGTGGTGGACCACCAATCCGCCCTCTCAGTACTGCAAGTGCAACGATGGTTACACACCGGATCCAGTCTCAGGAAATTGCACAGGTACGTGCAATGGATTTGAAAGGACCCGCGTCAGTTCTTCCCCTATGTTTCCCTATGTACCCCGTTATCCCCTTTTTTATTTCTCTTAATCTGAGGCATTGCCACCAAGCTTTGTTGGCCTTTTGGTGTTTAACCATATGAACCCTTCAAACTCCCCATCTCCCCTTCCCCGCCCACCTCCTCTCCCTCTCCCTCCCCTCCCCTCTCTCCCTCTCATCATACTCAATCTTCACCATCCATCTGCCAGTATCATGCCCGGCCATGCCCTGTCCATATGGATATCTTTGTGACACATCTGGACTCTATCCGGTCTGTAAGAAAGGTGCGCTCGCTCGCCAACTTACACACATTCCATCCAATCATCGTCCCTACTCATCATCACCTTCCTTGCTGGAAAATCCTGCTCGCTTCAGTTGGGGAGTGGTGGGAATGGCTGCGCTTGGTGGCCATGAGGAAGGCTAGGTGAAGGTGCTTATCTAGCCACCGTTGGTCACATTGCTGACACGTGGGGAGCAGTCACGTGGCAGTTGTGGCTCTTGTAGACGATTGCTGGTGGTTGAGAGAAGGTAGATAGATTTCTTGCTTTCATTCTGTTGCTGATTTGTACCTGTACCTTTCTGTGCCTTTCTGTACCTTTTTATCCTTCTTGAATTCTGTTGCAGTTAACTGCCCGGCTAACTGTCCTCGTGACTGTGTTTGGAACTCCCAAAAGAGCATCCAAGCTTGCCCAAGTATGTGCTGATGGTCTCATTTTCTTCACCCGTTGCCTTCCCTTTATCATCCACTTGTGCACATTCCACTCCCTGACCCCGTCTCCCCTCTCCTGATGTCCTCTTTCTATCGTTTTGCTCCTTCCTGCATTTCCCTTCTCCACTTCGCTGCCTCACTCGCGTGGCTGACCCACGTATTCATCCCTTCCTGCTCCATGTCACATCCACACCAGCACGCCTCCTGCCAAAGGTCATTGCATTAGTGGCGATGTAGGTTGCTTTCTCTCCCCTCTTCCCCTCTTCCCATCTTCCCCTCTCCCCCTCTCCCCCTCTTCCCCTCTTCCCCTCTTCCCATCTTCCCCTCTTCCCATCTTCCCCCTCTCCCCCTCTTCCCCTCTTCCCATCCCCCTCTTCCCATCTCCTGTCTCCCTCCATCCATCCAACAGACACCTGTGAAGCCATGAATTGTGGACCATTGGAAGAATGTGCGATGGTAGGAGGTGTACCAACGTGTAAATGCAGGAGTGGATATGTCGGCCAGGCGGGATCTTGTGCTGGTATGTGGTGTGCTTGTTCTTTACTCACATGTGTTCTTTGCCTTTCCTTCTCTCCCTCCTATGCAATGCATCTCTGATTGATATTTCTCTCTTTTGTTGTCACTCGTATCGCTGCCTATCTTGCTCGTTTGTCATAACCTCTCTGTCATGCTCTCTCCTCATCCTCTGTCTCATTCTCCCACTTCTCCCTATCAATCATCAAATCCATCTTGCAGCAACATGCAAAGCTCTGTATTGTCCCCCTAACCAACACTGTGTGGAGAAAGTCCCTGGAGGCGCTGGGACTTGCGAATGCATGCCAGGATACGTTGCGCGAGGCAAATACTGTGATGGTATGTAGTATGTTTGGCTTTCCATTCCTCTTATTTTTTCCCTCTCACTTTCCTTGCATATTCTCTCTCTTTCCGTCTTATTACCCTCCTTCCTCTACCACCGTCCCTTCCCCTGCCTCACCTCACTATCCCTCACCACCTCTCTCGTTCTCCCCTCTCTCCACTTACCAGCAACCTGCGCAGTCTATGAATGCGGTGAAAATGAAGAATGCGAGATGGTGAACCTCAGACCAACGTGCAAGTGCAAGCCAGGATATCTTGGGGGCGCTGGATGGTGCAAGCGTATGTGCTTCTCCTCTTCTCTCTAACGGCCTTCTCTCTAACGGCCTTCTCTCTCTCTCTCTCTCTCTCTCTCTCTCTCTCACACACACACACACACACACACACACTTGGTTTCGGTATCGATGCCCATGCAAACCCAAACCACTTGAGGTGGGCAAGGTAGCAACTCAGATCAATCATGGTATAGGGTTTGAGGTTTGGGGTTAGGTCACATGGCCCATGGAGGCATCACAACAGACTGCAACATGAAAACACCCTTGATTGTCAGGGTCTTGTCTGAGGAACCCAGAGGGATTTCCGCCTTTGTTACTGCATAGAGCTTGCTGAGGTGGCTGATGGCTTGATGAGGTGGCTGGTGGCTTGAAACAAATTCTGTTTGTTTTATGTATTCTCTCAAACACTGCTTTCTTGTTAATCATTTTCACTTCGTCGCCCTTTTCCTGCCAAACTTCCCCCCCTCCCCCGTCTTTCCCTCTCTCCCTCCCTCTCTCCCTCTCTCCCCCCCTCTCTCTCCCTCTCCCTCTCCCCCCATTAACCCCTCCCACCATCTGCCAGCACCGTGCTCAATACGAGTCTGTGGTCTCAACGAGGAGTGTGTGGAGCGAGATGACATGTCATACTGTCAATGCAAGTTTGGATACAAGCGCGTTTCTTCTCACACCTGCGCGCGTACGTAGCCTGTCACCTTCACACACACGCTCTCTGTATTATGTATGCAAAAGGGTGTACAAGATAGTGTAGAGAGCACGATACAGAAGGAGAGGAGCCCGTCCTGTGATTCGGAGGTTGTTTGTAGCCCATCTATCTTTGTTGACAAGCCATGCAAAAAACCCTGCTTATGGATGCCATGATTAGCAGTGGTGTTTTGCCAGCACTCTTTCCTCAGCCGCCTTTCCCCCCTTCCCCCTCCCCCCTTTCTATCTCTCTCTCTCTCTCTCTCTCTCTCTCTCTCTCTCTCTCTCTCTCTCTCTCTCTCTCTCTCTCCCCATCCTTCTCTCTCTCTCTCTCTCTCTCTCTCTCTCTCTCTCTCTCTCTCCCTCCCCATCCTTCTCTCTCTCTCTCTTCCTCCCCATCCTTCTCTCTCTCTCTCTTCCTCCCCATCCTTCTCTCTCTCTCTCTTCCTCCCCATCCTTCTCTCTCTCTCTCTCTCTTCCTCCCCATCCTTCTCTCTCTCTCTCTCTTCCTCCCCATCCTTCTCTCTCTCTCTCTTCCTCCCCATCCTTCTCTCTCTCTCTCTTCCTCCCCATCCTTCTCTCTCTCTCTCTTCCTCCCCATCCTTCTCTCTCTCTCTCTTCCTCCCCATCCTTCTCTCTCTCTCTCTTCCTCCCCATCCTTCTCTCTCTCTCTCTTCCTCCCCATCCTTCTCTCTCTCTCTCTTCCTCCCCATCCTTCTCTCTCTCTCTCTTCCTCCCCATCCTTCTCTCTCTCTCTCTCTTCCTCCCCATCCTTCTCTCTCTCTCTCTTCCTCCCCATCCTTCTCTCTCTCTCTCTTCCTCCCCATCCTTCTCTCTCTCTCTCTTCCTCCCCATCCTTCTCTCTCTCTCTTCCTCCCCATCCTTCTCTCTCTCTCTCTTCCTCCCCATCCTTCTCTCTCTCTCTCTTCCTCCCCATCCTTCTCTCTCTCTCTCTTCCTCCCCATCCTTCTCTCTCTCTCTCTTCCTCCCCATCCTTCTCTCTCTCTCTCTTCCTCCCCATCCTTCTCTCTCTCTCTTCCTCCCCATCCTTCTCTCCCT